TTTTTGGAGCAGATTGTTGTTCGCTAAATGAATTACCTGCAGAACCTTCAGAAATCATGGGGAGTAGTGGCACACCAAACGAGCAACAACTGCCTGGAGCATGTAATGTTGCTTTTAATTCATTGCCGACAATACATATAAATGAACAAATAGCACCACAAGAGGTTAGAAGTATGCAAAATCAGCTACTGTTTTCATCTGATTCTGGTGGAAGAATGCTTTTAAAATCATATCCCAAGACAATTGCTTGTGAGGAGTCAATGGGGTTATATGCAAGTAAGGATTTTCTTATGTCGCAACAAACCTGTCATCAGAGAAAATATTTTGCTCCTCACTGGTCCGTTGAATCTGTTAATGAGGCATTAGAGGTCAGTCTGCCAATGTATTTCAATCAGTATTTGTTTTGATACTGTTTATTATTGCACCGAATTATTGATCTTTTTAGACCATGTAAATACATCATGGAGAAGAAGAAGGTTGTTATCATATTTAGTGTTTAATTCTGCAGAAAGGCAATGTCTTTAAAGCGCTGTTTCGTGTGAATGCTCACAACAGACTTGAGGTGCGTTATAATTTTTTCCCTGTATTTCTGTTGCATCTCCTTATTCTATTATGATGCAAATATTATGCACTGTTCTGTGTTGTTAGGCCTATTGCAAAATCAATGGAGTTCAAACAGATGTTCTCATCAGTGGAATTGCTGCTCAGAATAGAGCTGTAAGTCTGGGGTTGCTTTTTCTAGTGATGTTCTAAATGAAGTGCTGTTGACTTCAATTGTCTACGTACTTTTTGTACATTGTGCATTTAATGGATATAAAGTGATAGGAAGTTAACTCACTAATCTTGATTTGTTTGCTTTCTGTTCCTTCATCAGCTGTATACTGTTAATCATTGGCAGTTCCATTTTTTCTTTAATTCATTGCCAAAGAATGACATCTTAGTATATGATAGTCAATGATTCAAATTTGTACTTCATTGTTTTACTTAATCGGTCATGTGACTAATTTTGGACATTTTACCTGGCAATACTTTACATTTACATTGTTACCAGATGCTTAAAAGGAAGATTACTATTGTTATTCACCCAAAAAAAAGATTACTATTGTTATTATGGTGGTTCATATTGTTATTTATTGAAATAAATGAAAAAACCAATTTGAACCTAGACAGAGTAATCTGATTATCACATTGTCTGAGCTTGAGGGATCATTTATCAATTCACTTTTTGCAGGTGGTTCATGTTGTAAAATCAGATTCCAGACTTGCAAATAATGATCTACCTGTTGATATCCAAAGGTTGAGATGTCGTGCTCTGTATTATGCTCTCCACTTCTCTCCTTTCTATTGACAATCTTGGGAAGGTTAGAACTTTTGTCTCTCCAGCATTCATCTGCCAAATAAATTTGGAATCTAGTTCCAGTTACAATTGAATTGATCTTACCAAAATTCTGAATGCTCCTTAGAATTTTATTACAAATTTTGGGACTTCCTGTGTTGAATTGATAATGATTATAATCAATGAAACATTTGCCACCATGCATGGTTTTGGATCTATTACTCCATTTGAAATGGAATCACAAAATTTTTGAAATCTCATTAGCATTTAAAACCTTACGAGGTTTGTACAGAATGTTGCTCCGAGTATGATGTAGGTGGTAATTTACTTTTGAGAGGTCTCCTATGGGGATATTCCTGTTAAATTAGGTTCTGAGAATACATGACAGTGAGACCGCAGAAGCTGGTGGAGCGGCTGAGATCCCGTGAGGGAAGATACATTGCTCTTCATCTGAGATATGAGAAAGACATGTTATCTTTCACTGGCTGTATTATAATGTACATTCTGGGTAAATGCAATTTAATTGTCTTGGCTATGTATCTTATTCTTATATTTAAGTTATCAACTTGGTTTTTTCAGTGATGGTTTTTTTTTTTTTTTGGTGGTAAATTTGTGATGTCTTTGTACTCTTCAAGTTATGTAATTTTGTATTCTTTCCATATGACTTGAGTTGTACAATTTTGATGGTATAGAAGACAAAAAAGAAAGTATGGGCCTTGCTTAAATTTGATATTGTCTGATATAGGTCTCTCTTTGTATCTCCATAAAAGTAAAGAGTATACTCAGTAATTTTAGTCCTCACTGTCCTCATTGGATGCAGGTCTGGGAGAAGTAGCTCAGCTACGGACCAAGTGTGTGTGTGTGTGTGTGTGTACGTCTATGTAGGTTTTTTCTTCATAAATATATATAGAACTCGGATAACAAGTTGAGTTGTGACTAGTTCTCATAATTTTCACATTCATTGTTATTGACCTCGCCAAGGGAATTTCTGATATCTATAAGTTTCCATTTGTCGCAGATTGTTACTTCACCTTGAAGGCATGGAATGCACAGAATGCTGGAGCAGCAGCTCTTCTAGTTGTGAACGACAGAGTTGAACCTTTGATCACCATGGACACCCCAGAAGAAGAGGACACAGCACCAGATTATCTGCAAAAAATAACTATCCCTGCAACACTAATTAGCAAATCTTTTGGTGAAAATATCAAGAAAGCTTTATCTAATGGTGAGATGGTTAACATAAATCTTGACTGGAGAGAGTCTCTTCCACATCCTGATGATCGGGTTGAGTATGAGTTCTGGACAAATAGCAACGACGAGTGTGGGCCCAAATGTGATAGTCAGATCGAGTTCGTCAAGAGTTTCAAAGGATTATAATGTTTGATCTTGTTTAATTGGATTATAATGTACTGTATGGTTCCAAATGTATCATCTGTTGCATATAGTTTAGGCTCATCTTTGGATATAGTTGGAAGACAAGTGGTATTTTTAATATTATAAGCCATATTAGTGTGCTTTCTATTCCTTTTTAATTTTTTTGGGCAAATTACACTTCTTGACCATTTTGATTTTAATTGATGTATTTAAAGTCTGAACACAAATTGTTTCTATTTTTAGGTGTGCAATGCATTGTTTCTTATTTTTAATTTTGTTTTCAAGCTTAGTTTATTTATTATTTTAATAAACATCAATTATTAGTTCTTAATAATTGTTTGATAGGTATTTTTTTTGGTCAACCGTATACAATTAGCACAATTTAAAAATAAAAAAAAGGTTATGGTGGCGTTTAAAAAACGTCACTATATCCCACCCCGACGGTTAGATTTTTAAAAGTTATAAATGTCTATGACGGAGTTTTCAAAAACGTCGCTAAATGTTACTGTGACGTCATGGTATAGTTAGGTAGGACATTTGACGGCGTTTTTAAAAACGCCGCCTATACTAATATAACGACGTTTTCCAAACGCCATAAAGCTATAGCGACGGCCGCGTCATCGGCGTTTGGTACTAAACGTCACAAAAAGAATTAGTGACGTTTCTAATACTTTTAGCGGCGTTTTTTAAACGCCGCTAAAAATGAATTTTCCAGCAGTGTCACTAGGTCTCAGGTTCGAATCCCATCCCCAACTGGCTACTGGCGGGCCACTGCGTCTTTGCCCGGTCAATAAGCTCAGGGCCCCGAGATTAGTCGAGGTACGACAATCCGAAGGGGTGCTGGCCCGGACATTCGGTTATCAAAAAAAAAATTATAACTTATTTTAATTTAAGCGTCTATGCCAAATTATTTGATGTAACCTCTATTTACAGGTTATTAGATATAAATAGTTTATATAAGTTTAAAAAAAGGAGTTTTTTTGATAAATCCATTTTCTAAGAGTTTTATTCCATCCAACCCATATTCTTTTTGACTATTCCATTAGGTCCAATTTGATATAAGAAGATCAAAATACCCATTTCATCTACTTATGTTCTATTTAGTTCACATTATTTTCTTATGTTTCAATAAGTCCTATGGGTGACATAATTACCAAAATACCCTTAAACCCTTAATGTGAATGTTCACACCGTCAATATAAATGTTTATATCGTTAATGTGTAGGGGCCCGGCTCATGTCGATCCTCGTGGGTGCCCAGAAAAATTCGTATCGGGCCGGGCCGGCCCACAAGCCAAAAAAATAGGCCCGACCGGGCCCGTTGATAATATGAATATTCACATTGACAAGTTAACATTCACATTGATAGGAGTGTAAAATTGGCCTGCGGCCCGTGGACAGCCCAAAACCAGCCCGTCGCTCGGGGCGGGCTCGGTCCGGCCCGTTCACAATATGAATATTCACATTGACATATTTACATTAACATTAACATTGACAAGAGTGTAAAATTGGCCCACGACCCGTGGGCAGCCCGAAGCCCGGACCCGGGCCCGGGTCGGGATGGGCCCGGCCCGACCCGTCGACAATGTGAATATTCACATTGACATGTTAACATTCACATTGATAGGAGTGTAAAATTAGCTCACGGCCTGTGGCCGGCCCGAAACCCGCCTGCGGCTCGCGGGCTGCACTGGGCGGGCCCCGCCCGACCCGTTGATAATGCAAATATTCACATTGACATATTAACATTCACATTGATAAGAGTGTAAAATTGACTTGCGTCCCATGGGCGGCTCGGGGTGAGCCCGGTCCGGCCCGTTGACAATGTGAATATTCACATTGACATATTAACATTCACATTGATATGAGTGTAAAATTGGCCTGTGGCCCGTGGGCGGCCCGAAGCCCGCCCGCTGCCCAAGGCGGGCCCGACCCGGCTCGTTGACAATGTGAATATTCACATTGACATATTAACATTAACATTGATAAGAGTGTAAAATTAGCCCGTGACCCGTGGGCAGCCCGAAGCTCGGCCCCGGGCCGATGCGGGCCCGGCCCGTTGACAACGTGAATATTCACTTTGATATGTTAACATTCACATTGATAAGAGTGTAACATTAGCCCGTGCCCCGTGACTGCCCAAAACACGCCCACGACCCGTGGGTGGCCTGAGGCGGGCCCGGCCCGGCCTGTTGATAATGTGAATATTCACATTGACATGTTAACATTCACATTGATAAGAGTGTAAAATTAACTCGCGTCCCATGGGCGGCCCGAGGTGGCCCGGGTTTGGGTCCAGGCCTACCCCGGGCCGCGGGCGAGCTTCGGGCAGCGGACAAGTTTTACACTCCTATCAATGTTAATGTTAACATGTCAATGTGAATATTCACATTGTCACGGTTCGGGCCAAGCCCACCTCGGGCCGCGATCGGGCTTCGGGCCGCCCACGGGCTGCGGGCCAATTTTACACTCCTATCAATGTGAATGTTAACATGTCAATGTGAATATTCACATTGCCAATGGGCCAGGCCCGCCCTGGCCCGAGGTCGGGTTTCGAGCTGCCCACGGGTCACGGGCCAATTATACACTCTTATCAATGTGAATGTTAACATGTCAATGTGAATATTCACATTGTCAACAGGCCGGGCCCGCCCACGGGCCGTGAACGGGTTTCGGGCAGCCACGGGCCGCGGGCTAATTTTACACTCTTATCAATGTGCATGTTAACATGTCAATGTGAATATTCACATTGTCACGGGTCGGGCCAAGCCCGCCTCGGGCTAAGCCCGCCTCGGGCTGCGATCATGCTTCGGGCCGCCCACGGGCTGCAGGCCAATTTTACACTCTTATCAATGTGAATGTTAACATGTCAATATGAATATTCACATTGTCAACGGGTCGGGCCGGGCCCACCCCGGGCAGCGGGCGGGCTTTTGGCCGTCCATGGGCCGCAAGCCAATTTTATACTCTTATCAATGTGAATGTTAACATGTCAATGTGAATATTCACATGTCAACGAGCCGGACCGGGCCCGCCCTGGGCCGCCTATGGGCCGCGGGCGAGTTTCGCGCCGCCACGGGACGGGGGCCAATTTTACATTCCTATTAATGTGAATGTTAACATGTGAATGTGAATATTCACATTATCAACGGGCCGGGCCGGGCCGAGTCGGGCCCTCCCTGGGCTGCTATCTAGTTTTATACTCTTATCAATGTGAATGTTAACATGTCAATGTGAACATTCACATTGTCAACAGGTCGGGCCGGGCCCGACCACGGGTCGGGCCCGCACCACGGGTCGTGGGCGGGTTTCGAGCAGCTACGAGGCGCGGGCTAATTTTACACTCCTATCAATATGAATGTTAACATGTCAATATGAATATTCACATTGTCAACGGGCCAAGCCGGGCCCGCCCCGGGCTGCGGGCGGGCTTGCTTTTGGCCGCCTATGGGCCGCGGCCCAATTTTATATTCTTATCAATGTGAATGTTAACATGTCAATGTGAATATTCACATTGTCAACGGGCCGAACCGGGCCCGCCCCGGGCCGCCCATGGACCGCGAGCGGGTTTCGCGCCGCCACGAGACGGGGGCCAATTTTACACTCTTATTAATGTGAATTTTAACATGTTAATGTGAATATTCACATTGTCAACGGGCCGGGCCCGCCCTGCCTCGCGGGCGGGTTTCGGCCCCCCACAGGCCAATTTACATTCCTACAAATGTGAATTTTAAAATATGAATGTTCACATCATTAAAATGCTAATCGTTGAAAAAATATTTATAAGGGTATCAAAATTAAATATAAGGGCATAAGTGTCCAAGAAAATAGTGTAAATCAAGAAAATGGACTTTATGGAATAAAACTATACATACATGGGACTAAATGGGTTAAAAAATTCCTTTATGGACTTCTTGGGTTAAAACACTTTTAAATTGGACTTATCAATAAAAATCCCTTTAAAAAATTAATTATTTAAATGCTGAGAGAATGGTGTTTGAAAATTATGATATGAGAAATATTATTTAAATTATTTGATGTATGCTGAGAGAATGGTGTTTGAAAATTATGATATGAGAAATATTATTTAAATTATTTGATGTAACCTCTATTTAGAGGTTATTAGAGTACCACTAAAAATGGTACTCTAAAACACCACTAATGAAGTTGGCACACATTTAAAAACAAAAACAAAAGAGCACAGCAACACGGTGGCAGTGGGTGAGGCCCACTACCACATCATTAATACTACTGTGAAAACCCACATTTTTTTATTTTTAAAAGAAGATAAATAAATAAATTAATTAATTTTATCCAGAATCTATCTAAAATATGTATTAGTGTAAAAGTTAGTTTTAAATTAATCCAATTCAATCACTAACAAGAAAAAAAATAATAATAATAAGTAAATAAATAAATAAATAATAATAATTTTGTGGGTGTTTAATATTTGTTATTTATAAATTATTTTATTAAGGATTTATTTTAGAATTAGAAATTGAACGTCCAAATAGCCTAAGGAGGTGAAATTGATAAGTTAAATCAGTTTAATTTCAAGTATTGGACCCTATGAAAGTGTAATTAAATATTCGATTCAATTAGAAAAATTAAGATTTGATTAATTGGGTCAAATTGAAATAAATGAAGCTAATGTGATTATGAGGATTAGTAATTATAATTATTATGAATTAAATTTATTTTTGAGATGTTCAATTTGAGTATGTAATTTATTGACGGAGATTTTGAGTTTAATATGAAATTGAAGGCCTTAATGATGTGAGAAGCCAAAATTGATAATGGAAATAAGTTTAATTTAATATTTTGAGCCTTTTGAAAATTTAATTAAAAATCTAATTCAGATTGATAAATTTAAATATAATCAATTCGATCTTAATGGAAGTCAAATTAGATTAATTAAATTATGTGGGATCTTTGATTGGTTATAATTAATTTAATTATGTGCTAATCAAGATTAAGTAAGATTAATTGATGTTTGATTAAATTAAAATGTAATTAATATACTAAATTATTCCTAATCAAATCATAATACAAGTGAAGTGTTGGAATCCTCTAGAACCTTGGAGGCAACAAGTACATATGTGTATTTATGTGTTCTGGAGAAGAATTAAAAGAAGAAAAGAAAATCTGAAGGAAAGAAAGAGAGGAGCACCGAGAGAGAGAGAGAGAGAGAGAG